TTGGGCTGTGTTGAGCCAGAGAGTTCTCCTAGCTCCACATCGCTTCTGCCACTTCCCAGCAAGCACTGGATATATATGCAGGAATTTTTGACTGTCTAAATAGCTCTGGAAGATGAGGAAAAAAAAAAAATTCTGGGTTGGTGAGTTAGATAAATATCCCAGGGTGCATATCCATGAACCAGCAAAGAAATGAACGTGGGGAGCTCGGTATCAGGGGCTGTGACTTGTATTTAACTTGGATTAACTATTTATTAACTTTTAGTTAATATCAGCGGTGCGCTGTCTCCCTCCCGCTGGTGTAGAGCTTTGTAAATGCTCTCTGCAGCTCAAGGCGGGGTTGGACTAAGCTGAAGGGCAGGTCGGCGAGGTGGGGGGAAAGGGGAGAGAACAGGTTGAGGGGGGACACGCGGGACTCGGCAGAGGAAGGACAAGGTCTGCAGCAGCTGACGTGGGACGCTGCTTTGTTTCTGGAGGTCGGTGGACAAGACACAGGAGCAACGAGTTCAGGATATGGTGTGCTGAAAACAGGAACAAAGTACGGGTGGAATCAGGCGGAGTCTTGATGGAATCGGTGAAATAAGGTGCTGGGGAGACAAAAAGGCCAAAGCTGTGTGTCAAAAAGGCATCGTGTAAATGCAGTAGCTCCTGCTGGAGATTCCTGTTTGCCTTTTCAGCTGGCAGGACCATCCTGGCCCATCTTTTTGTGCATTACCTGCTTCATACATGCCTGTTTTCTCCACAGCAGCGTTCCTGCACTGCGCTTTGCCTCTGCATATCCAGTATGTTTGCTGCGTGGCAAAGGCAAACCTGACCTTGACACAAACGTGTGGTTCTCTCTCCTCTTTTAGCAGCGTCGCCCGTAAGCTGAAAAACTGGCCAGCACAATGGGAAAAAAACAGAACAAGAAGAAAGTGGAAGAGGTTTTAGAGGAAGAGGAGGAGGAGTATGTGGTGGAGAAGGTCTTGGATCGGCGAGTGGTAAAGGGCAAAGTGGAATACCTACTGAAGTGGAAAGGTTTCTCGGAGTAAGTGCTTCCCTGCCTGCTACTGCGGGGTGGGTGCTGGGGCTGCTCCGCCACAAGCGTCTCTTCTGCCTTTGGCTCCCAAAGCCTCCGGGCAGGTGGCTCAGTCTCCCTGCGTCTCTCCTTGTCTGTAAAATGGAGCTAACAGGCCAAAGGCAGCCCTGATGATAAAAGCAACGGTGCTAAATGCCTCGAGCTCTAATCAGGGTGACAAGAGCACAGCCTAGGTGGGAAAGTCCCCTTTCTGTCTTGCTAGCAGGCTGTGCAGTGCACTGGTGGGGCTTCCCCCTCTTTAGCCTAGTGCGAAACAAGCAGCCGGATAAAATGAATTGCACTTCTCTCCTGAGAAGGGAAATAACTGCTGTGTCCTCTGGCATCCCTGCCTGGATCAGGCCAAGGTCCTGTGTCACGGGGCGAGGACACCCGCGCCCAGACTGCTGCTTCTCTCAGCATCTCCGTGTGACCTGGTGTCCAGGACTTTTCTTGGCAGGGAAAGCTGCAGCCAGCTGCCCGCATGTACAACTAAGCTGTTGTCTTTGATTGCAGTGAAGATAACACATGGGAGCCAGAGGAGAACCTCGACTGCCCAGACCTCATCGCAGAGTTCCTTCAATCCCAGAAAACCGCACATGAGAGCGAGAAGTCTGAGGGAAGCAAACGCAAAGCGGAGTCTGACACAGAGGATAAAGGGGAGGAGAGCAAACCAAAGAAGAAGAAGGAGGAGGTGAGGCAGGGTGCTGTTTTGGTGCTCACCTCCCTACCCCTGCATTTGGCAGGGTGTCTAGCAGCTGGAGCAGCCACGCTCCAAAACTGCAGTCACGCTGTTCTCCTTCATGGAGGGGAAGCACTTGCACATAGCTGAAGTACTTTTGAAAAGCTGTAGCTTTCGGAAGGAGGCATGAGCTGTTGCCTAAGCCAGGCCTCTTTGTCAATCCAGAGCCACTTCTAGCACTAAATTGAAAGGCCGGTTCTTGAACCAAAAGGGTCTGGAGCTCCAGCTTCTCCTGGAGAACACACCGTGGATGAAACAGGAAACAAGGGTTGCCTGTTGCCCCCTCGAGAGGGCGAACAAGGTGGAGCAGAGAGCTCAAGGTGCTCATAGCTGCTTGGGAAAAGGGACAGTAAAAGGCTCTGCAGTCTGGTTTTCACCCCAGGAGCTGCTGAATCTTGGCCAGTACAAGGTTTTGACCAGCAGGGCCTTGGAAATCAGGTTCTGTGCTTGCAGCATGAGCAGGGTGCTCTGCCGTGCTGCCCCGGGTCGCCCCAGTGCCGTGGGTTTTTACGCCTGAGTGGTCGTCACAGTTCTCCGCTGGCCTTAGTTGTTATAGGCTGAGCATCTGATATGCAGAGCCTTTCTGAACAGCCACCGGTGTGTCGTCGTGACCAGAAGCAGGGCTGTGGCTGTCACCCTGTGATGCTACAAGTGGAAACTTGTCTCTTTTTCAGTCGGAGAAACCACGAGGCTTTGCCCGGGGATTTGAGCCAGAGCGAATCATTGGTGCCACGGATTCCAGCGGGGAGCTCATGTTCCTGATGAAGTGGTGAGTGTGTCTTTGTGTCTGTCACTTCTTCACTTATTCTGTGCCAGAGAGGGAAGGACCTGCGCCTGGGGAGTCCCTGCTACCTGGCATGAAATCTCTCGCGATGGCGCTGCTGCCTGAGGTGACCCTCTGCGCCGAGGCTAACGTGGATGTGAAACGAGCAGGTAGGGCCCTTGGGATTGTGTGGCTCTTAAGATGTCCTCCCGCAGCAGGCGCGAGCTTGGGGAGAGAGAGGGGCATGGTGTCATGGCGCGGGCTGCAGTTTCGGAAGGCTGCGCCCAGAGGAGAACCATGACGATGACCGTGTCCCCGTCAGCTGTAGTGACACAGGGCTTGTCGCTGGCACAGGTGGGAGCCAAACCAGTCAGGCGTAGGTGCGGGAGCCATTTGCTTTTGCACCGTCTCAGAACTACGGAGTGGCTGGGGGCAGGGCCGCAGCTTTGATTCGGCTTCTCTCCCCATCCCCGACAAGACAGAGCTGAACTCACACCCGGGTTGTTTTTTTTCCTGGGCTCACGTGCTGCTTCTCCCTGCTCCGGAGCCACTCGGGAAGGGGTCGCTTGGATCCCCCGAGCAGCTGGGGAACTCCGTTTACCTGCCATTTCTTGATTTTTTTCTCCGGTCTCCGCTTCTTCCACCTCCCCTCTGCAGCCCCCTAACTTACACCTCTGCTCTGGCCTGTAGGAAGAACTCTGACGAGGCCGACCTGGTCCCTGCCAAGGAAGCCAACATCAAGTGCCCCCAGGTGGTCATCTCGTTCTATGAGGAGAGGTTGACATGGCATTCCTACCCCTCAGAGGACGATGACAAGAAAGAGGACAAGAACTAACCCCTGGCACCCGCTCTGGCCAGCCTTTGTATAAAGATCTGAACTGTGGGTTTGAGCAAGAGGGAGAGAACGCAGCTCTGCTTGGTTGGGAGCGTAGAGATGGCTGGAGAAGATGCCCTTTGAAGAGACCAGTATGGTTTCTGTGCCCTGCAGCTGCTCAACTGCTTTATGCAGCTTCATGCTGTGTACAGATTCAAACCAGCCCGGCTCATTTTGGGGGGGGTGGGGAGGGAAGGGCAGGGGGATACCGGGGATGTTGGGGGAAAAAAAAAATTTCAAGGCTGGCTATTTTGCAGCTTGTGGGAGAGGAAGCAAAGCCCCTTCCATGAAGGACTGTCACTGGTGATGGGTGGGCTGGGGAAAGGGAGTGCAGATGGATACTGCTTAATCTTCAAAGACCATCTCAGCAACCCACAGCCTTCTTCCCAATAGTGTTAACTCTGCATTTTTACGGCGTAGCATGTGTGTAGGTTGTTTGTTTTTTTGGG